TTTTTATGTTTTTATTTCTTGTTTCCATTCTTTTTTCTTAAATTATAAAATTACTTTCTGTTATGATTATGTGGTTAGGTTAATCATATTCATGCTAATCACGTGCGCATAAATTAAAATGGCGTCAAACCACAAACCCACGCGGTGCTGCAGCTGGAATTTGTCTTCCATTGTTCTCTGTCCTTGCTTCTTTTTGAAGCCACATGTCCAGTCCTTGACTCAAGCTCAAAGGAATGATGTAAAAGCCAACTTGAACGGCTCTCTGGTTTAAAAGATTTCCGTGTTGATAGAAGAAAGATGAAAGAAGAAGAAGAAAAAGTCTGAAGAATTTTGCAGAAATTTGAATTTGGGCCTATTCTCCAGAAATGCTCCCGCTGCATTACAGTCCACTCTAAAGGTACCAAGAGAATCGCTCAGTGAAGGAGAGCTCATCTAAGCCATTTATAAGGCTGTACAACGTAAGATAAAAGAGTTGTGAGTGTTTGAAAATCATAAAAACGGCCGCCATCTTGAAAAATCAACCTCAATCCTACATATAGGCTACCGCCTATATAATAATAATAACAATAAATAACAATACATGCGGCGTCTATTTGAAGGTGGCGGTAATTTCCTTCACTACTTTGGCCCCGGGAGGCATCTATTTGAGGGAGGCATCTATTTGAGGGAGGCAGCTACTCGGGGGCGGCTTTTACTCGAGGAAATATGGTAATTGCCTAATTTTTGGGCTGCGTAAAAAGGGAAGGGAGCATCAGAAAAATTCCATTGCTAGGCTACAATATAAACTCAATGGGAATAATAAAACCGCAATCAGAAGTTTCCTATCCCTGTAAACTGTAATACCGTAGGTCGTGATATATCCGCAGCTGCAATTATTCACAGTCATAAAAATTCAATTAAAAACAATGGAAACTGTTAGAGCATTGCTGACAATTAAGACCATGTGTTTAGTGTTCAGCTATTCATCTGTTCTTTAGCAGCTATAGTGGAGCCATTCACCAATAACGAGTTCTCCTCTATCTGTTAACTTCTTGTATGGACCGCTACCTCAGAGCTCTTTCAGCCTCTTTGCTGCAAATTGTTGCTGGTCCTCGTGCTGGTGATAATAAACCACGCCCAAGTCAATAAACACTAACTAGAATGGGTGGAGAGTCCCAAGATACCAGGCACTAGTTCTGAAAAGAACCGGTAAAGCAGCTCTAAAGAGACCAAGGCTCAGTGACACAAGAAGAACAACAGCTCAAGAACACTGCAGCAAGGTGCTTTTCTTCACTATCGCGCCATTTTCAATTATAATAACACTTTGGTTTTCATGGTTTTTAATTGAAATTTTTTTATGACCGCAAATAATTGCAGCAGCGAATATATCCCGACCTACGGTATCTATGTTAATAATCACAGTCTGTAAATGTGACGTCATCAGTTTCCAATCCCGGTTCCGTAGTCTATATACTATGTCCCAACTGAGTTTGGACCAAGAAAAACTGGAATAACTTTTTATAGGAATGTGGGATATGGATGAGACTCTCACAGGTTCTTAGTTGCCCAATGCCGCTTCAGGATCTCAGGTCATAGGTCTCTCAGCCCTTGATAACCCTGAGAACCGGGTTCTCCCTATCAACCCAATGGCATACCAAAGCTAACCGCAATGACGTTCTTATGATGTCATAGTTTACATAAGCACATGTGGTCCAGCACCCAAACTGATAATTCTTCTTTTAAAATGCTAATAGAGCAAGATCTTCTGATAATGATGGCCTTTATGAAGACTAGTTGACTCCAGCAGCTATTGTACTGCTTATCAGGAAGAACAAGACTGTTTTAAGAGTGAAACAACACCACCAGAATATCGGCCATGTCTCTATGAATATCATTATAACACATCATCAGTGATGTAACTACATTTTTCAAATTCCAATGTAGCTGCTTCCACTTCCGGTCCATTCTCAGTTGGGACATAGTATATGATTAGAGTCTGGCAGCTGGCCAGCGAGACTAGTGGCTTACTACTAAGTTCCCTCCTCTCCCTCACTACCTCAGTCCTCTCTGTTATCGTCAGAGCCATTATCAGCTGAGTACACAGAGGAACATAACTCAGGCAATGATACAAGTACTTCCTCTAGACCCAACTGAAATGAGTACTTCACCCCAACCACTACCCTAACCACTTAATACAAGTGAAGTGAGCACCTTAACTTCGTCCAATTCACTCACCCTCTCCGCAATGATACCTGCTTCATCACCTGAGCCATCCCAAACAGTTTCCCAGAATCAATCAGAACAGTCAATCAGTCAATCACCTCATCTACAAACCAGGTTTTTTAAGTACCGTATTTCCTCGAGTAAAAGCCACGGCGTCTATTTCATTTTTCCATCTATGGGAGGGAAGCGACATTACGAGGGCGGCCATTGTTTTGGGGCGGCAATTATTAAAAATCAATTATTAATTTTACCTAAAATATTCTTTTTAAACAAAATTTGTAATAATTATATAATAATTTAATCTTCATCGTGCCGTCATAGATATAATACACAGAACAGGATTAGAAACAGGATCACGTGAGCGCATTATCCATTGAAACACTCCTAGTTATATCGGAGCCCCGGGCAGCTGCTCGACTATTGCCCAGGCCCCTGACTGTCCCTTTTCAAAAAGTTTGTGGGACTCTAGCAACTTCAGGAGACGGCGAGACGCACTAGTATGAGCTTTTATAGCTACTCTCTGAGGATCTTTAGTGCATTAAGACATTTATTAGTGCTTAAACAGAAGTTTTAGAAAGTTACAGCATGTCAAAACCAAAGGCCATATTTCAATGGCGTCAGTACTCTAAAACTATTAAATGCAGTCCATAACAAACATCACAGTGCACTGTAAGAGGTTAAGAAGTAACCATAGAAGCAGATATTTAGTTATTAAACTATCAGATATCGTCTGGAGAGTCCCACAAAGTATCTCCATTACGGGATCAGTTCCCAGCATAACTAGGAGTGTTTCAATGGATAGGGCGCTCACGTGATCCTATTTCTAATCCTGTTCCGTGTATTATATCTATGATCGTGTCAATTACTACTTTCAGTTCCAGGTCTGGAAAAAGAGCACTCTCATGTTCTACCTCAGGCTGTAGGAGTTTAGATGTTCCCCAGTGTCTTAGCATTATGAGCTATTTCTCCTTCCAAGGGTGTTCTCACGAGTTGCATCATATTTCTTGCTTTATGGGGTTAAATAGAAGCTCATGTTAATGAGAAAAGGGCATTTGGAAAAGGTCTAGAAGTACCATGTATCTATACCTTTCCTGGAAAGATAAAACTTATCGATAGGATGAAGTGGCTACAGTCAACTCAGACTCAACTGTGACTAGACGGCCATTTTACTAATTAAATAATTGCTAGTTATTAATAATAATAACAATAAATAACATTACATGCGGCGTCTATTTGAAGGTGGCGGTAATTTCCTTCACTACTTTGGCCCCGGGAGGCATCTATTTGAGGGAGGCAGCTACTCGGGGGCGGCTTTTACTCAAGAAAATACGGTAGCCCCTCCTCTGTTGTTAAAAGAGGAGGGGCTAATACCTATTGGTCACGTTCTGCTCGGAATCGTAGGAAATTAGAAGCTGCAGCTGCTGATTTTGACCAGTCCCTAATAACAGAGTTCTATAATCCAATCGATAAAATCACTCACCTGGTTAAAGAAAATGAGAAGCTGTATTCTATAATATCTTCTATTTCAACATCGTCTCAGGAACACACATCACTTATATACACAACAGATAATGTTACACCAATATTGAAACAGTTGATGATAAATGCAGAAAAGAATGTGGGAAAAACCAGTAGTCAAAAAAGGCACTCTCTTGTACTCAAGATATTTTCAACATTACTCCTGATATATGCTGGCTCCATGACATATGTGTTCATGCACAAAAACATGCCAGAGACATTGCCTTCACTGTGAACAGTACAAAGCATAATACAAAGAATATGAGGACATACGTGAAGGGCAATTTCGCTTTGATGAATTATTACAACATCTTAAAAAGCACAAGGCACCATATGTTGTAACAATCGCTGAGGATGCTACCAGAATTGTCAAAAACGTCAAATATGATGCTCTATCGAATACTTGTGTGGGCTTTGTGCTACCAAATGGCAGAAATGGCATACCTCTATTAAATTCATTCACAGTACAATCTTTTGATGACATAGAAAATTACTTTGCCAATTATACAATGGCAAAGTATGCCTATGTATATATGGTACAATCACTTAAAGATGGTATTCCACTATTTTGTTTGGCATGCATTGGCAGTGACAACAAA